TTGATTTTTGTTTCTTAAGTCAAGACAGGTTACAGAAAAAATGAAAAACAAGTTTTACATTATATTTTCTTCAGACTGACGAATATCCCATTTCTGGTTTGACAGAGAGACCGCGGAAAAAAGAGAGGAGAGAGAGTGTTCTGGCCTTGTTAGGGCCAGAAATAAAGACACAAGTGAGGAATCGAGTTAGACAAATATATTAACAGAAACAGCAATACAAACATAGAAACAAGAGTGTGACAGCAAGAATGTTCGGTCCGACTGTCAGAGTTGATTGATAAAAAATTTTCACTCCAAAAGGCAGTACCTGCTCCTATTTATAGCTGGGAGAGTCCATGTGTGTGTGGGTAAATTGTCATAACAGCGAGAGAGAGAGAGAGAGAGAGAGAGAGAGAGAGAAGGAGGGAGAGAGAGAGAGAGAGAGAGGAGGCGTAAAAGAACGGGCAGAAGCGAAAAAGAAATTTTGTTGGTTAATGTATGGATTGTGAGAACATTTTACGAGTCAATAGAGCAATAATAAGTGATATATATATATATATATATATATATATATATATATATATATATATATTATGCAGTGTTTCATTAGAACATTGCATACCCACTACAAACGTGTACAACTGCTTTCAACGTTGAAACATTTTACAGTTTTGTAGTGGGTATGTACATGTTCTAACGTAACACTGCATAAAAATAGATATTTATTGCTCTACTTTTGTATTGGGCTCTGTTTTAAATTAATGTTTTGAACGCTGAAATCTTACTTTCTTTCTTTTTTTTACATTTATATATATATATATATATATATATATATATATTTAATATATAAAAAAAACAGACCACTTTAAGGTACCATTACAATAATTTATTTCACCAAAATCCTTTTTGAAGGACTCCGGATCATCAGGTAACACTTCCAACAACGAAATGAAAGGAAAAATGTGATTAGAAATTGATGGGTAGTGTAATTTTTGTAATTTTACAGGGAGTGTGATCGTTGTAGTCAACGAGACAAGGTATAGTATAGAGAGGGGTAAATTTCATATTTCTCTTAAGCATGTTTTATATTGGGGTAGGAGGAGTGACCTAATTGTGACCTATTTAGATGGTTAACTTAACGGAAATGATATATAGGAATGGGAGGGTAGTGGGGGGAAAAGAAAAGGAAAAATGGAAAGAAGAGAGGAGACAGACAAGTAATACAGATATATCTAAATGAGTGTTACGGCAAAGAGAGAGTGGGAGAGGGAAGTGAATCGAAAAAGCTGTAATTTTGTTTTTAACAAAATTATGTAAAATATAGATTTCAATGCTTGATAGAAATTTAGATGCCTAAAAAATGATGAATGTTATCAATTTAAACATTTAGTTTTTTAAGTAAATAGTTTAGGGACTTAATATAAGTTAACTACTATTTTTATTAGCACATTTATCGAGAACATATTAAAGAAATATTTAAAATTATAATAGTTTATTTACCTGACCAATTGTACTTTCATAATATTGTAAAAAAATGTTGGTAACAATAACATCTATATTAGTTTTACTTTAAATCTAATTTATGAATGCAATTTTTCTTTATTATTATATGGGTAAACTTAATTAAGGTTTAGGTTTCATTATTTAATAATATTTGAGGGTAATATTAAAGATTTTGTTTCTTCTTATATGTATCTCACAAAAACATATTCATGCAAATCCACATATACATACGTCCATTTACATGTGCAAATACACACAGACACACGTGCAACAATATACACAAATGTTCATCCATATTCATACATAAATTACATATACACACATACATTTCTCAATCATTACCTATATTTTAACGTTTGAAATTTATTTAGATTTTAGTTTGATTTTATAGTTAAAGTTTAACTTTAGGTGACTTGTGAAGTGCTTCATTATTAAAGGAATTTCGTTAATATTATTATTACTATTAATAGTTAAAGAGTGGTATATTTAAAATTATCAATTTTAAGATGAAACTCCCTTAAGAAGATAAAAATACACTCTCCAAAATAAGAATGATTGAATTCTGCGATAACATAGGATTTCGAGATAAAAGTCCGACTGTTAGCTGGAGAGTAAAAGAGATGAATTCATACCGTTCGTCAAGAGTAAGTAAATGCAACGAAGTTGTCAAGAATTCGAAAACGACTCGCCGATTTCTCTTTCCGAGCCGTTACCCATTACATTATCCGTGCATTCAGAATGGAAAAGAAGAGGAAGACAGAATAAAAGATATCACCAGAAAAAGAAAATCAACTGCAATGTAAAAACAAAAATATGATTAAAATAAATGGGATATATTGTTTCCTTTTATAAAAAATAAACATGTTTAATAACAAGGAAGAATGAAGAATAACTTTGTTGCCATCTGTCTATCTGAGCTACAAAATCTTAACAGGTTATAATAATTTAAAATGCTGGAATAAGCGTATATCTTAAAATTGATAAGGACAATATAGCAATGAAACGATTACTGTACATCATCACAAACACTGAAATGCCCAAACACACACATAAACACAAATACTCACAAACAGACATACACATGGGTGTGAGTGTGCGCGCGTGCGTGTGCGTATATTTCTTTTTATATATTTGAGTACTCAAAAAAGAAAAAAAATATTTCATTTGATAGATATGAAGTTCAGGCAAGAAATAACTAATGACATTTTCGAAGATTCAGACTGGGGCATATTGTATGGGAAGAGACTTTAATCGATACTTATGAACAGACTGAAATAGAAAGAATTAAATGGAATGTCACAGACAGAAAGACATACAAACAGGCAGATAGACGGATAGATAGATAGACAGTGATATATATATATATATATATATATATATATATATATATTATAGGTCTATATATATATATATAAATAAATATATATTATATATAGATTATACACATATATAGATAAACAGTGATATATATATATAATTATTTATTCGAAAATTATAATATAAATATGCTATAAAATCACTACAAAAATAGCCATTTTGTTTCAACACCTCTGTTGTCTTATCAAGTGATGATTGTGAATGTAGAATAAAGGGTTTTAAAAGGTTCAAATTAATTAACCACCCCTCAAAAGGGGAAACACTGTTACATAAGATTATCATTGTAAGATATGTATATTTCTTAACATATTAAATAGCTCTGAAATGTAACATTGAGTACGTTTGTTTCTTAAAGTATAAAGAATATATTTGTATAAATAAATGGATAAATTTGGGTAAATGTACTAGCGAGCTTTCACATACAAATATATTCTCTATACTTTAAGAAAAAAGTGCTCAATGTTAAATAGCAGAGCTATTTATTATGTTAAAAAATATACATAATATCTTACAATGATTGCACAGATCTGATTTTCTGCATATATACTTTCTGCATTCGTCAGGTGCGTTTTGGCTAACACTGCTTCTGAAATATTCCTGCTTATTGCGTGATGTTTATTGTCTGAAAATCAATAAATTAAGTAATAATATTATTAATAAACTAGGAATGAGTAGTGATATCAATTTATTTATTTTTATCTTTATTTCTATTTGCATTTATTATTTTTATGTATATATTTGTTTGCTTTATTTACTTACATATTTATATGTTTCTATTTTATTTTATGTTATTATCATTTTAATTTCATTGTTATGTACTATTATTATTATTATGACTTTAATTTTTATTTTATCACGGCATATTTTATTATTACTGATATCACTATTCTTATTTAGTTTCTAAATAATAATATTAATTACGTTATTAATTTTCATGGGAAAAATAGAGTTGCGCCCCTTGATTTTCAAACGTTTGTTTCTTATCCATTCCTTTTGATTTCTGCAGCGTCTCTTCAAATTAGAAATTAATATTTTGTTTCCGACATTATTTTCAATCTTAAATGTTAATCTGCGTCAAATCCAGAATTAAACTAAAATTCATTTCAATATTTTAACAACAATAATCCAAAATTGCAATAAATATCTCGCGATAAACAGAAATATTACAGAAGCAGTGTTAACCAAAAAAAATGTACCTGGCGAAAGCGGAACGTATGAAACTTAGAATTTTGCAATCAATTTAAGATATTATGTATATTACTTTATATATATATATATTAAAGACATATTTTTATGTTTAACGTTGTTATTTTATAGATACAAGTATTTAAGCAAATGCTGTGTTTATGATAAACAGTATTAAATAACATTTACCGGCCTGAATGTCCGAGAAATTTTCATAGAAAATTTTCGTTCTTTGACAGGATTCGAACCTGCATCCTATACGGAACCGTCATATACGCTGACGTGCCTTTACCGCTTGAGCTACAAAGAACCAATCGGTAGACAAGGTCGAATTTACTGCTTATAAACTCCAACTTTCCATGAATCTCGTACATTCATAACTGCTCTGGCGTATCGAATGTAAACAAATGACGTCATATATAATACCGGACATTCAGGCCGGTAAATGTTATTTAATACTGTTTATCATAAACAGAGCATTTGCTTAAATACTTGTATCTATAAAATAACAACGTTAAACATAAAAATATGTCTTTAATAAATAAATTGTCGGACCTTGTATCTATAAAATAACAACGTTAAACATAAAAATATATATATATATATATATATATATATATATATATATATATATATATATATATATATATATATATATATATATATATATATATATAGATAGATAGATAGATAGATAGATAGATAGATAGATAGATGTGTGTTTTTTTATATATATATATATATATATATGTGTGTGTGTGTATATATATACATACATATAAATGTAAAAGTATATAGACTGATGAATATGTTGATACGAAATGTAAATGAGATGGATAAATTGATATATATGAATTGATATAATTAAATAAATATGAATAGAGTTAGATAGGTATATGGATAGATATGATTTGAGATAGATAGAGAACGGTTATTTCATTGAGATAGATACAGACAAATAGACAGACAGACAGACAGACAGACAGATAGATAGATAGATACATAGATAGATATGATTTAATTGCGATAGATATGATTAACTGAGATCGATAGATATGAGTTAATAGAGAGAGACAGATATGATAATTTCAATGACATATATATATATATATATATATATATATATATATATATATAGATAGATAGATAGATAGATAGATAGATAGATAGATAGATAGATAGATAGATAGGATTACATAGATGATTGTAGCATATTCCTAAATTATGTATTTACTTTACGGAAGACATATATATATTATCAAGTATGTGCTTGTCAGAACATTATTTCTGTGAATATTAATCATAGCAATGGAACATTTAATAGTTAAATTTGATGTCAAATTTCAGCAATCTTCTTTTTATTCTATGAACTTATTGATCCACGCTTATATATAAATATTTAAAAATACAGATAGATAGATAGATAGATAGATAGATAGATAGATAGATAGATAGATAGATAGATAGATAAGGTTTACTAATGATTATTACATACACTGGGGTATATATGAGGGGAATCAGTTACATAGGAAGAAATGTGGATATTAACTTACGCACGAACAACACACAATAAGCTATGGCATATTCATAAATTGATGGAAAACAAGATAGATATGAACCGATTGAGAGCAATAGAAAGATGGATAATAGATAGATATGAACATGTTTCTATAGATAGATATAAACAGATTTACGTCAATAGATAGACAGGTGTTAATAGATTTAGTCAGAGGAATAGATATTAAAATGTCTACATAGATAGGTAAATAGATATGACCATGTTTACCTAGCTAGATATATATGAACATGTTTAGGTAGGTATATAGAGATTTATGAGCATGTTTAGATGGATAGATATATAAACATGTTTAGATAGATAGATAGATAGATAGATAGACAGACAGATAGATAGATAGATAGATAGATAGATAGATAGATAGATATGAAGAAATGTATATATACATTCACTCATACATGAGCAAACCTGAAAAGCCAAAATTCATATACAGATATGAAAGTCTATTAATAAATATAAAATAGATAGAAAAGTAAGAAGAAAAAGCAAATACAGAAATCGTTGAGGTGGTTATGTGAATAAGGAAAAAGAAAAATCGGGGCAAACTGACATTCACTTTACCCGTTTCATAATCCCCTGAAATGTTCGAAATGAAAGTGAACGACGCAAACGATCCTAATTTCCCGACTTTCTTCTGATCGGCTGCTTTTCAAACGGACTGAATGGAGCAATGAAGCTGATTGGTCGACAATACAAGACTTTTTAAAAACGTTTCCGAAGCGCTTACGAATTACGATCGGCTTTTGTAGAGTTCATTTTCAGAAAACTATTTCCTAGCTTTTACATATTGCCGATGCTATAGACACATAAGACTTTGCTAGGATTGGGGAGATGGGCATCTGGGCTGTTGGAATGGATAATTAGATGTCGTGGTAAATTGAAAATGCACTCACGTATGCGTTGAGAAAGGCAGAAAGGGAATTGTTGTAGGGTGCGGTTGTGGGTAGGAAACTTGTTCGCTGCATGTACCTATTTACGCGTAAATCTATAGATCGATAAAATCGATTAAGGGAGGGATCTGAATGACTTATAGATTCCGGCATTGTGCCAGAGATAAATGGATAAGTGGGCGTATTTACTAGTTGGGCAAGTGGGCAGAGAAACAAACAGATAGATAGATAGATAGATAGATAGATAGATAGATAGATAGATAGATAGATAGATAGATAAGGTACTGAGATAGATAGATAGATAGATAGATAATGTACTGAGATAGATAGATAGATAGGTAGATAGATAGATAGATAGATAGATAGATATGAACTGAGATAGATAAATCGATATGAACATAGAGAGATAATGTACTGAGATAGATATATAGATAGATAAATAGATAATGTACTGAGATAGATAGATAGATATGAACTGAGATAGATAAATAGATATGAACATAGATAGATAGATATTATTTAATACTGTTTATCATAAACAGAGCATTTGCTTAAATACTTGTATCTATGAAATAACAACGTTAAACATAAAAATATGTCTTTAATAAATAAATTGTCGGACCTTGTCCATTTCTTAATATATATAGATAGATAGATAGATAGATAGATAGATAGATAGATAGATAGATAGATAGATAGATATGAGCTGAGATAAATAAATAGATATGAACATAGAGAGATAGATAGATAATGTACTGAGATAGATAGATAGGTAGACAGACAGACAGATAGTTATAGTTAACTAGATAGAGAACTATAGATATGTAGATCAATAGAGATAGATATGTAGATCAATAGAGATAAATCAATGCAGATAGATTAATAGAGATAGCTGGATCAATAGAGAAATCAACAGGGATAGATCAATACATACATAAATCAATAGGCATAGATAGATAGAGCTAAAGAGAGAGATTGATAGACTAAGAAATATATAATATATGAATAGACGGAGGCAGATAGATAAATATATAGATATAAATAGATTGACATATATAGATATAAAGAGAAAGTAATATAGATGGCTAGATGTGAATACATTATGAAACTGGATATAAATAGGCTGAAATAATTATGAATCGGCTGAAAAAGCAACTGATAGATACACACACACATACACAAACACACATATATAGTTTCAATATATATATATATATATATATATATATATATATATATATATATATATATATATGTGTGTGTGTGTGTGTGTGTGTGTGTGTGTGTGTGTGTGTGTGTGTAACCAGTATATAGATAGAGAGATATGAACAATTTGTATATGGACGTATATTTATATGAACATTTATATAAGAATATATATGGTTAAAGAGGTTATAATTGACCTAATATTACACTTTCATGAATCTACCGTGATTCTCCTCATTGATACTATTATTATTATTATTATTATTATTATTATTATTATTATTATTATTATTCCTCTCATAGATAATTCTGTAATAATACTATTATCATTATTATTATTACTATTATTATATTTCTTTCTTCATTATTACAATATTAAAAACAATATTATTATCACTTTTAAATCTTGTTGCATTTCGAAATATTTTTAAAATTATAAAATTTGAAAGTTTAGATTTTATTTAAAACTTTTTACTCCTTAATTGTGATTCACAATATTAATAATGTTAATATTTTTTATTTTAATGTTAGTAATATTTTTTTTATTTTTTGTTTATTTATCTTATATTCACATTATATTTATTTCCTACTTTATTTTGTTGAAAAATTTTAAATGCTTAATATCAAACGTTAACTGCCAAATATATAAATCTGTGTTTTTTTTTTAAATTAGCCGCAATATGTCCATACATATTTATTCTTCCTTTTCTTTTATTCTTCATCTTTCTTTCTTGCCACCCCAGCTTCCACTTCTGCTTTCTTATATATTTACTTCTCTTTTTTTCTCTATATCTCGTTTCCTATATAGGTCAATGTCTGGTCCTTACACCCCTCCCTTACTCTCAAGCATTTGAATAAAAATAGATTTAAAATTATTCCTATTTCTCCCTTCCCTCTCTAATTTCGACTATTTTTGTCATACTCCACATCCCCCTCTCTCTATATCACATTGCATCAGCTAAAAAGTCTCTAAAAAATTATATGTAAATTTAAAACAGATCTTTTTCATCCTTAGAAGTGTGGTCTGATGAACCAGGGAAAAACCAAAAACCTTATAACCAATGGACCCTTAAGGTTGTCTCTTTTCTATTTTAATTGAATTAATAATTGCTCTGAATTGACATTGAGCTGTCTGGATTACATCTTCCTTGGAATTATCCATACGGATTACCAAACTTTTCATTACTTAAATATATTTATTTATATATATTGAAATATATGTTTACCTCTGTCTCTCTCGCCTCTCTCTCTCTCTCTCTCTCTATATATATATATATATATATATATATATATATATATATATATATATATTTATACAAATACATATTTACATAAATGTAATATATATATTTATATATATATGTATTTATATATATTTACCTGTGGCCCAAGTCCGAAAATATGGAGCACTCAGTCAGGATCCAAATCACTACACAGTCATAACTGGAGACAAACTATTTGATATATATATAACTATTACATATATATATGTCGATATATATATATATATATATATATCTGTAAAAAACACTAGGAACAAAGACAATTTTTCTTGTCCAGTACGTTTCATCCACTCTCGGATTTCATAACAGGAAATGGAAGCATTTTATTCTGTAATATATTCTGTAATATATCGTTTTATAAATATTAAATTTAAGAACGTTCTGAAATGTTCTTGAAGTTAGCCGTGTAAAGTATAGGCAAACTATGGTGAACGTTAAGTGATATAATTTAATATCTAATATACGAAAATTGGTGCATTTACTAACTTTCGTTTATGAAATACTTGTAGCAGTGAGGAAGAGTGTTAAAAAGAAACAGTAAAATATGTGATACCAATGAAGAAGTCACATTTATAAGAAAATCAAATAAAATAAGTAAGAGTATATATGAAGATCGAGGGCTTAAAAGAGTTCAAACCGACGAATAACGTACCTCAAGAGGCTTGACGGCAAATGTTGGATGGATACTAGCGGAAAGCATCCTCATGGCATTAATTAATGTAATGTTTTGGAATATCTTTATAGGAGATATCGTGGTAGGTTCTTAGAGAGTTCCAGTTAGCTTTTAAACACGAGAAACTTGCATTTTCTGAAGGGACGCGTGTAGCCATAATTCAAGAAGACTACTTTTGCCCAGAAACGCTCCATCGCACTCAATGACTAAAAATATTGAATACTGAGTAAAATGTTTTTTGTTGGATAGAAAAACAAAATCAAAATATTATACTAAAAAATCGAGTAATGTTCTTAAATCGACATGACGTCCAACTCGCTAAGAAATGTATAAATTTTCAGCTATATACAGCTCATTGTTCCCAGATTAATAATTACAAATCCACTTGGTCTTAACCAAGAAAATACTTCATAAAATCCTATAGACTGGCGCTACACAATCACAAACAATGAACTTTACCAAACAACAAAATCGTATCACTGGAAGACTTCAAATAGCAGCAACAGCTAAAATGGATAGCACATGTAGTTATAAAGGAAAATAATGAACATGAACATGATGTTGACTTTCACCCCTAAATTAAACAAAAGGGGGTGTAGGAAAACCCAAATTCACTAGAAATAGCCATAACATCAGACTTGAGAAGCCTATTTTCCAGGTAAAAAAAAACAAAAAATGTTCTGTTGTTTTTTACTCAAACTGGGCAATCTAGACTTCGGGCATTATACTGAGTAGGTAAGTTTGCTTTTAGGCTTTTTTCTTTTTTTCAGTAGTTTCATTTTAATTCGAAACTGTATATGGTAAGTTGTACGTTGATTCCAATAAGGTTTTTTATTTTTCTTTAACCTTATATATATGCAGTGCTATTCGATAAAACTGACTGACCTGATTTTTTACCAAGTGTTCTCTTCTCCGATGAAACAAAAGTTGAGCTAAATTCAAAGGATAAGCGATCTAAAATCCGAAGAAGCTTTGAAAGCTCTTTGAAGTTAGCAGTCAGTACTGTCAAGCATCCGTTCAGTATAATTTTCTGGGGATGCTTTTCTTTTCATGGAACTGGTCTTTTAAAACCTATTGAAAAGTTCCTCAGGAGCGAGCAGTAAAAGAGAATTTTAGAGTCTTGTCTGCTCCCTTCTGGTGAAAGGGTGCAAATCGACCCCACCAAGCTCATTTTTATGCAGGATAATGTTCCCTGTCACAAATAACAATTGATAAAGCAATACTTTGATGAGAAGCAGGTGAATGTTATAACCTCAACCCCATAGAAAACTTATGGAGCATTATAAAGTACAGGTTCTCGAGAAAGCAGTTGAGCAACATGCTCCATAAAGTATTCCTTCATCAATAGGTTTTAAGAAACCAGTTCCATGAAAAGAAAAGCATCCCCAGAACATTATACTGAACGGATACTTGACAGCACTAACTGCTAACTTCAAAGAGCTTTCAAAGCTTCTTCTTCAGATTTTAGATCGCTTATCTTTTGAATTTAGCTCAACTTTCGTTTCATCGGAGAAGAGAACATTTAGTAAAAATTAGTCAGTCACTTTTATCGAACAGTCATCATTCAGTGTTGCTTTCTGTACCCACCTTGTTAATATATAGAACTATCCTTGATATTGATCAATCAAATTTTAAACAATACATTTGTAGACAGATATAATTACACACGACACACATACACCTCTCTCTCTCTCTCTCTCTCTCTCTATATATATATATATATATATATATATATATATATATATATATATATATATAAAGAGAGAAATAGATAGATATGTAATGAACTCCACTAACCACATAGATGATTTGATTAGAGTGGTGAGAGTTAGTGTAGAACTACTCACATTTGTCGGGAGAATTGTTAATAAAGAAATGATGTATAGAGCGCCATGAAGTTTTCAACTAGCGCCCCGACCACCAGTCAGGTTTTATTCGAATTTTTTCTTCCCCTAGGCTGGCTGTAAAGGAAGACAAGGGAACCCAGATAACCATGTATATAAAGAGTGTATTGAATAGCTGTGACTATTTTCGACGCTTCAAAATGTTGGTTCAATATCATCATCATCATCATCTATTTCCATTCCTTCTTTCGTTCATTCACGTTTCCCTGCGTTCTATATTTTACTTATTATTTTTCCCTCATTATCTGCATTTTTCATTCTTTTCCTTCTGTAGTCCTTCTTTTACATCTTTTCGTCTCCTCTTCCTCTTCCTCATTTTTTTTTTTTTTTTTTGCTTCTTTCGTTTCCGCTTTTCTTCTTTTTCATTCTCGCTTTGTAACTCTTTCATGCATACATTCTTTATTCTGTTTCTTTCTTTAGTTATTTCTCTTCCTCTGTTGAATGTTTCAATTGTCGAAGCAGAAGACTTAACGGATCGAATATGTATTTCACTTCAGTTCACACGATTATACTTTCACAAAGACTCATAATAGACCACACGCATGCGCAAAAAAAACAACATATTTTTTTATATTAATCATATACGTTTAAAAACGTAAAAATTAAGAAAACGGAAATATAAAGGCGGTCAATCAAATATACATTAATGTACAAGAGAGGCATATATTAGATCTGTGGATAAGTTTTCGCATACGTATTGAAAATGAAAACTATTCCGTTATACTCGCTTACACACATTCACACAAAAATGCTGTCTGTAAACGGTAAACAAAAAGATGAATAAAATACAAATACATTCTATGTTGATATTTGCATAGAACTATGAGAAAAGGAATGTGGACATGCAGACGTTTATAATTTTGTGTTTGCCTCGACAATGCGGGAGACACATTCTTGGACGTCTTTGGGCAAATTAAAGCATTGGCGAAGCAAAAATCCTCCACAGAACAATAATTTCATTTCCTGCCTCTTCTCGACTCTAAACTGGCTCTCAAACACAATATTTGACTGGAACGGGCCAGTTTTAACGAGAGAAATTTTGGCGCCATTTCAGATAATTGCTTCATAAAATGGCGATTTACTTTGACGCTATTGGTAGGGCAGATAAGGATGATGGTTAGGACAGGGAAGTTGAGAGAGAGAGAGAGAGAGAGAGAGAGAGAGAGAGAGAGAGAGAGAGAGAGAGAGTGAGAGAAAGAGATGGGCGCCGACAAGGAAAGGGTGTCGTGGGAAGTTAGAATGGTTCATATCAGAATTTGAAAATAAAATAAAAATGATTAAAAGAAAATAATATAAAAACGTCTGTTTATATTGTTTTTCAGCGTCTTTGAAAGAAGAATTGTCGTTTCATCTTTTTTGCTTATTTTTCTTTGTCTTCGTTTTATTATTCTTCGTGTTTCTTTGCTCTTTCCTCGATTCTTCTCATTCGTATCATTTCATTTCTTTTCATTAACTTTTCATTTTCTTTTCTTTCTACGTTTTTGCTCTTTCATCAATTCAAATTCTTTTCTTACCTCGTCTTCATAATTTTCTTTTCCTATTGTGTATTCATCTCTTTTTCACATTGGCAATTATAATTGCTCTTTTTATTTTTCTAATTTAGTTCTTTTACCATTTCCTTAATATTTGCATCTTTCCTTTATTTCTTTTACAGCGAGTTACTTATTATGTTATTTTATTCCATCGTTAATATATTTATTATTTACGTTTATGTTTCATTTGTTGCTTAACATTTCTTTTTCTTCTTCTTCTTTTTCTTCTTCTTTTTCTTCTTCTTCTTCTTCTTCATCTTCTTCTTCTTTTTCTTCTTCTTCTTTTTCTTCTTCTTCTTTTTCTTCATTTTCTTTTTCTTCTTCATCTTCTTCTTTTTCTTCTTCTTCTTCTACTTCTTCATCTTCTTCTTTTTCTTCTTTTTCTTCTTCTTCTTCTTCTTCTTTTTCTTCTTTTTCTTCTTCTTCTTCTTCTTCTTCTTCATAAATTTTCTTTTGTTTTTTATTACTTTGTTTTTCACCCTTTCTTCGTGTCCTCTCACTTTCACCCTTTCTTCGTGTCCTCTCACTTACACTCTTTCTTTCTCTCCTCACCTTCGCTCTTTCTTCATGTCCTCTCACTTACACTCTTTCTTCCTCTCTTCTCACTTTCACTCTTTCATCCTCTCCTCTCACTTACACTCTTTCTTCGGATCGTCTCCCTTTCACTTTCTTCCTCCCCTCTCATTTTCGCTCTTTCTCCCTCTCCTCCCACATTCACGCTTTCTTCCTCTCTTCTCACTTTCACTCGTTCTTCCTCTCCTCTCACTTTCACTCTTTATCCGTGTCCTCTCACTTTCACTATTTCTCCCTCTCCTCTCACTTTCACGCTTTATTGCTCTCCTCTCACTTTCACTCTTTCTTCCTCTCCTCTCACTTTCACTCTTTATCCGTGTCCTCTCACTTTCACTATTTCTCCCTCTCCTCTCACTTTCACGCTTTCTTGCTCTCCTCTCACTTTCACTCTTTCTTCCTCTCCTCTCATTTTCATTCTTTCTTCGTGTCCTCTCACTTTCAATTTTTAATCGTTTCCTCTCATTCTTGCCATCATCCACTTTCAATCTCATCTTCAATTTCTTTACAACCATTACTGACCATCCTTCTGAAATTTTTCTAACTTATTTTTACCTCCTCCCATCATCTCTAGCTTCTTTTTCTTTATAAATTTTCTTACTTTTCTTTTATCCATTTCCTTCTCTTCTTAATTATCTCTCTTCATCTTCTCAGCACCATTTTCTTCCTTTTCTTCCTCATCATCACCAACATCATCTTTGCAATCATTATTGACTTTTCTACTTCTGAAACATTATTATCTTTTCTTCTTGTTGTTGCTCTTCTTCTTCTTCCTCTTCTTCTTCTTCTTCTTCTTCTTCTTCTTCAACTTTTTCTTTCGACTATGAATTACTGAAACTGTGACATACAATGTCTGACAGCTAATATCCTGGTGTGGATAGAGTAATCCGTTTAAATTTCAATGTCCCATAGAATTAGTTTTCTTACTATTCTCTAAAACTGTTTTAGATCAACGGCTTCCTATTTATTTCACTGAACCAACAAGTATCAATAAAAAATAAATAAGGCTTTTATTTAATTCAAACTGCACATTGATATACGGAATGCAATAGAAAAGTTCAGACTTTGTTCAGTCATGCAATTAGTTCATTCTCTCTAGTCACTGAATAAGCAATGTCAAAGTATTTATGTCCAGCTCATTTTCTGACAACATTTAAGGGAGGTAATTCGCAATCAAAATTCGAGATACTCTACATTAATCTTAGGTGGGTATCGAACCAGGAAATAAATGTGGTGTATCTACTGAATATTGGACCTACGAGAGTAGTAATGGTTAACGAGACTTTCTTGTTAAGCATTAATTCTACGGCAAGGCGTCCATCTATTATTATTATTATTATTATTATTATTATTATTATTTTCTTTGATTTCTGGCGTTTACATATTTCTTTCCGGGTCCTGCCCAGGGACCTAAGGTTAGAAATGGCATCATGACATTTTCCCAAAAAAAAAAAAAAAAAAAAAATTACATAGATAAAGCCCTTCGTAAAGTGAGGGCTGTACTTGTCAGAACAATTTTTTTGTATCTCTTTGAGGCATAGACTTCCAGGAATCCCTTCAATTAGTCTACTGGAATCTTTTCCAACCATTCCTAGTGCTTCAACTACAACAGGGATTGTTGATGTTCCCATATTTTTGAGATTTCTATTTCAAGGTCCTTGTATTTTGACAGCTTTTTGAATATCTTCAAAGATACATTGCAGTCTGCAGGGACTGCCATATAAGATACATTGCAGTCTGCAGGAACTGCAATAAGGAGGCACTTTTTTGTTTGTGGTCTTTATTTTTATTATTATTATTATTATTATTTTTATTATTATTTCTTTGGATTTCTGTTGTATAAACATTTCTTTCCGGGTTCCAAGTAGAGATCTAAGGTCAAAAATGGCTTCATGACATTTTCCCACGAACATTTCTTGTAAAAAAAAAAAGAAAAAAAAGAACGTACACATTTTACATACATAAAGTTCTTCGTAATGCATTAACTGTACTCGGGAGTACATTTTTTGTATTCCTTTATTATTATCATCATTTTAGGTTACGTGTCCTTTTAGGAAGTGGACGATCATAGCTCTTCCAGTATAATGTAATTCTAAGTAAGTTTAATATCACCCTTTGTCTCTGTTTTACCATTCATTCCCCCAAACTTGTTAAGTTACTCGCAGATTACTTCTACATCCTTCGACTTTAATTTAATATGCCACGTGAGTGTTAAATTCTCCCTGCCTATTTCCCTCATTATGTGCTTTATAAATTTAAACTGTCTCTTTCTAATATTAAGTACCAGTTTCCATGTAGTTCCTAGTTTCCTTAAATCTTCCTCATTGCATGCATGTTCCGTCCATGTTATTTGCCTCATTCCTCGGTAGAACCATATTTTCGTCGTTTCAAGTCTCTTCTCCTTCTGTGAGGAGATTATCCATGATTTACAGCCATATAAGAGAAGAAGCATTACATAGCAAGGCAGCATTAGTTTTGGGTTTGTTTCTAATGAACTCTTCCTATCGGTTAGTGATTTTCTTATTTTCTACGATCTTAGTATTGTCTCCCTTCACAGCTTAAGTAAATCCTGTCATAAAAGGTTTACTTCCTGATCCTCCGTTTTCTATTAAATAGATCAAGAAAACGTATATATATATATATATATATATATATATATGAATGTCATATATAAACGTATATATAAAACGTAAAAGTAGAAAAAAAAAGAAGAAAATAGAGCTCTCAGTCCGGACTATTGGGTTAAGGAAGGGTGAGGCGGAAATGTGATTTAAAATGAAAAATAAATTAAAATTTTTAAAATTTAATTTAATTTAAAAAAAAATACCCCTCGAAAATTGCAACATCATTTCATTTCTCGTTGAAAGAGGGAAAAAAAAACTTTATTGTTTTTATCATAATTATTATTATTTTTTTTTCTCTCGAATTTATTTAATCGGGACACCATATCTACACACACACACACACACACACACACACACATATATATATATATATATATATATATATATATATATATATATATATATAAGCAAGTGTAAATGGATATAAATCCGACAGAATGTAGAAATTTTGAAAAATAAAAGTCTTATCATATATCTGTTTTAAAATGATAAGACTTGTCGTTTTTATGTCCATCGTTTTAATCATATTGAACTGAATTTGTATTTTAATGAATTTGTCTTGAAAATGGTTTATTAAAAACCGAAACGTCTGACGTCGACAATTTTTTTTCATTTTAACTACATATATGGATTTTTGTTTGTTTTTCAAAATTTATACATATATATATATATATATATATATATATATATATATATATATATATATATATATATATCTAAAACACTGGGATCCTGAATTTAAATTAAATATATACGTAACAATAGCTGTTTATTATCTGTTGTTGTACGCGTGTGCGTGTGTGTATTTTTTAAACATTTCACTCGCAGCAAGGAGGGAGTGCCACTAGTATGCAAGGGGTTACAGAGAGTGAAAGTAAGATTAAAGAGGGGTGTTTGAGGAAAGTATACGTTATCATTTTGAGACGGACCCTGACCAAGATCAAGGTATCTGAAGATGTTGATTAACATTACATCTAAATGTTTGAAGATTATAGCTGTCAGAGAAGCAAGTAAGAGGAACGGAGTTTCACTGTAGGGAAGTGATAGAAGAAGAAGCTGTTGGAGTAGAAGAGGCTGTTACATTTAACTGTTTCGACAGTAAAAGAGTGGGAACGGGATTTAACCTAGTAGCACGCATAAATTCATGCAGCTGGGGCACCAGGGAAAATGGCTCGTCAGTGCAGTTGACATGAAAATATTTGTAGAAAAGACAGAGGGAAGCCACATAACTTCTATGAGAAAGTGCCTGGAGTCGAGATGCCAGGTCAGGACCTATCACAGTGCATATCTGTCTTTGGATTCTGTCATGAATCACGAGATGAACAGCGGGGCCACTAGACCATATATGGATAGTGGGTGCACTAGACCATATATGAACCGCAGGGGCACTAGACCATATATGGCAAATGTATTCAATGCAAGGTGCAATGGTAGATTTGTAGAACTTAAAAAGCAATGATATCAAATGAATGCAGGTTTATTATATCTATATACCAGAAATTGTTTTATATATTGCTCAATTTATATTCCCATGCTTAATGTAGATAAGTAATCTGCATATTTAGCTTAGAGATCAGTTTTTATAAAATAACTGTATTGTTATTAACCTGGTATTTTGATAACATTATAAGGAAATAATTTAATAAATTGCGATTAAAACGGACATGTAAAAATATGTTTGTGTTAATCGATATTATTAAATTCTGTGACAAATTGTAAATATCATCTTAGAAGTTGTTTTGTTAATGGCATTCATAATTAATCCGTTTAGCAATTAATATCATTTTCAGCCGTTAAAGCTGTAACTATCTTAGCATTTAGATCAAAGCTTAGGAGTAAAGTAAAAATTGCCATCATCGTATTTTTGATATTATATTTTGAAAATGTAATAAATATATATTTGATAATCATTTCACCCCACGCAAGGGGATAATGCTACTAGAATGTTGGGGGTGGGTATACAGATAATGAAAACGACTTTAGTCAAAGGACGATAAAAGAACAGGTTTCATGAAGACAGAAGATGGCGATTAACATTGCATTTAAATTTTTGAAAATTGTAAGTGGCAGGGAAGTAAGAAATCGGAATGGAGTTCCACAGCCGACAAAAGAAAATATTAGAATAGAACAGAGGGTGGCATCTGGCGAGTTCAATTGTAAAACGGTTAGAACTAGTTGCACGCTTAAATTCATTCAGTCAAGGAACTAAGGAAAACATCCTGCAGAACAGTTACCATGAAAATATTTGTAGAAAAAAAACAAAAAAACAGGGAAGCCGCGTCATATTGGTGAGAAAGGGATTAAAGTCGAGATGCAAGATTACATTAAATAAACTTCTTTGGATTTTGTCAGTAAATTTATAACATGAAAATAACTAGAAAATTACTTACGTTTATCGAACTTAACTAGCGTTCCTAAAAAGTAATTGAGGTGCAGCTATACATCTAAGTTTTCAAAATCTGAACATCAATTCGATAATTCATCAGTACATCCGATCTTACATCAAAGATATGCTCTCAGTTCAGAAAAGATGCCATTAAATTTCCACTTTAAATGCGTTAAATAATATACATATTAAGTCTTAGCAGACTCTTCTGTATACAAAAGAACTGACTTATAAGTGTGAATAATATTTGCCTTTTATTTATTTTTTTTACAGTGAGGTGTACCATGTACAAGCTGCAGGGCCAAAGAGGGTTATAGAAAACTGGCATAGTTTATGCGGATAGGGAAGATAGCGGTTAACGCTAGACATGAACAGGTTAAGATTATAGCGATATGGAAAACATCCTCTTGGGAGTCGGTTCCACAGAGCAGTGATTCGCGGGTGGGGGGGGAGATGTTCTTGAGCGAAACGTACTTGTCTCCAATGGAATATGAAGGAAAGGATGATTTTCAACTATGTGAGTCGCATTGCTGGTCCTAGCCGTGAAGGTTAGACCTAGCGGAACCAAGAAATGCGGTTAG